TACATTACAGTTAGCAATAAATTTTATTTTTATTAAGTGTAACACCAACAAGACATATCGTGGTGTTATCATTGATTGGCACGGAACTTTCATATCAAGGTCTAAATTCATTCAATTATAATATTCATAGATACATACAGCATGTTATATATATTAACATTGAAATTTTTATTATTTGTATATTTCAAATAGCCAAGATTATTCATCTGATGCATATGTGCTAACATACAATTCTTTATCAAATGAATTTTTGACCATATCAAAACCAAATATGACTGATTTGGTATGTTTGACATATTTATTCAAGCAAGTATTAATCATTTATATCTTTCGTAGGCCTCTTTTTATAATTTTAACATTTTAACATTATGTTTATATATATTATAGAAATCAAAACCATATGATATTAGCATCATATAGTACTATTAACGCAGATGATGGATATTTTATTAGCAATTCCTTAGCATTTAATACACTTGATGGTTATTTTGCAATTGCATATATGGATTTTGTAGGATCTAGCATTCCAAATAATTCAACATACAACCCTATAGATCCAGTGATGTCCTTATATGTGACTATTATGAAAGACGGCTTTAATCAACAGATTTTGATTTTTCAATCTTATGATAAGATGTTAAAAAGTGCTAGTATACTTAATTGTCAAGCAGGTTTTACCTCGCACGATACACAAAGTAGCATTTGCTTTATAGCTTTATCATTTTATGCTCCGAAAAACGATTTCCCTTTTAGAGTTACAAAATTTATTAAATTTTCAACATCTGGTTCTGTTATCGAAACGGGCACTGTACGATCTATTAGTTCCTCAAATCTTACCTCAGCCCCTGGCTCTATTATCCAAACTACCTCTGCAAATTCTATTAGTTCCTCAAATCTTTCCTCAACCCCTGCCTCTGCAAATCTTACTAATTCGTCTTTGGGAATTTTTGGTGCTGGTGCAATATTTATGCCACTAAAATTTGGTGGCTATATTTATTATAACAATGTGCCTGAAGAACCTATATACATTTGTGATATTATTAATTCATGCGATTCCTTTGAAGTTCCAGAAAATACTCAGCTACGTGATTCTGGTGTTTTTGATAATAACACTGTTTGGCTTGCTATGGAAGTCCCTCTTTCACAAAATTCGTTTATAAGCACCAAAGATGCAACACAATTTATTAAAGATTGTAAGTCTTTTAATTCATTATTATAATTAACACTTATGTTTACTAACTTATACTTTGTGTTCCCTTAGATGGTTTTGATAATCCTGCAATTGTATCTACTCGACCAGAACAAAATGCAACATTGACATCTCTTTCCTCTAATAATATGAATATCAATATTACTTTTTTCACTCCAATTGTTTTATCAACTGGAAATCTTACTATTTATCAAGTCATCAATGAATCTAATTACTTATTACGTCAAACTTATCCTGCATTAAATTGCACTTTAATTCCGGATAGTAAAGGAGTATTATGTAAAGTCTTGTCAAGTACTTTTAATAGAATAGATAGCATATACACCATTGTTTTAGATAATAATTTTGTTCAAACTCTATCATTTAATGAACCATTAAATGGGATCAAACGTGATATTTGGCATGTTAAGACTCCAGAATGCAAGTATTAGCATTTTTTTAAAAAAAACTTATTTATTGTAAATTGTTTCTCAATAAAATACTAATTTACTATTTTATTATTTTATAATTTTAAATATCTAGATTCTACAAAAGCAACTCTAAGATTAAATTTAAATCGGACATTATATCAACAAATTAAGAATGAGCTATATCAACAAATCATATCTAGCATTCCTATTAATAGTGATAGGTTATATTTGACAGGAAGTATTCAACCAGACTCTTCTCGTACAAAGATTTTAGTTGAATTTTCAGTTATAAAAGCAACGGATCCTTCAAATGAGCCAAGTGTACAAGATATCATAAATGATTTAAATAATATGATTAAAAATAAAGACACAAGTGCACTTTCT